AAAGAAAGAAAGAAAGAAAGAAAGAAAGAAAGAAAGAAAGAAAGAAAAGAAAGAAAGAAAATATAACGGTCCCATTCCATTGCCTTGGCTACCAATCACCTGTACCCATAATATACCCCCTGCCGCTTCTAGCTGGCATCACAACGCAAGTATCTCCGCATGGACCTTCTTGGAATCTTCTGTCATGACCTAAAATTATCTTTTATCTCTTTAATTCTATATTGTCCCTTTCCCTGCAGAATAAAAATTCCTCAAGGATAGGTGTTCTTGAATGTGTACTGTGGCCCTTTAAACTCCACACACAGTAGGCTTCAGTAACTATCTGACAAAATGCCGGTCCTTTAAAACCAACGGATTATCATCAGGAGACTGGTTTAGCTTTTTCCCTAATGCAGAGATCTTTTCTATAATATTCTTGGCTGGGTCATCATTTAAGGACTGAACGACTCTACTGACAAAAGCTGACCCTGTCATGAAGCATTCATTTCATCTTGGGAAGCTCTTCTGCCCTGGAAAGTCTTCTGTCTACTAAACATCTATCTAATTTCCACCTCCTGTCTCTGGAGTTACGCCAAGTACATCTAATTCCATGTGTACATACAGATTTTCACATTCTAAAAGATTACTACATGTATTCCTTACATCTTATCTTTTTGGGCAAAGAGTTTTCATTTCATTCAATGATTCTCCATTTGATAGTTTTTCAATCTCATTTTTTTCCTACTTTGGAAACTACTAATTTATGAATTTGCATCACAAAGCATGCTTAGAACTTAATTCATGCAGTCCCACTTGAATAGCATAGTGCAACAGACAGGTTTCTAAGTCTATTCAGACATTACACTATACTGTTATTTGTAAAAGCATAACTATTCTGATAGTCCTAATAAATACGATATTAAAATCTCTAATACTTTTGCAGAAACTATTGTGAACTCAAGAGTACCCCACTGTCTAGATGCAAAGATGTTTTCAAACAAGTGGTTGAAGTATTTTATATCTATTTCCATTAAATTTATTTTTTATTACTTTTAGTATTGTTTTCAATGTTCTTTCAAGCTTTTAATCACAACTGTTCACGTCAGTATACTAAAGATCCCTCCAAATTCCACCCCATCCATATATTTGATAAACATGTTTTTTATGACAGTATCCAGAATGCAAATAATTGCTGAAAGTATCAACAGGAAAAATTACTTCCAGATGAAGAGGAGGCTGAGGCAGGAGGATCACAAGTTCTAGTCTCAGCTCGCTAACTTAGTGAGACCTTGCCTGAAAATAAAAAATAAGAAAGGGCCAGGGAATGTAATCATTGGTAGAGTAGCCCTGTGTTCAATTCCCAATACTGAAGAGAAAAAGAAAAAGAAAAATTATATTACAGAGTAGTATCATGACACTAAGAACTCACTTTGGAGAAACTGTTTCTCCATCACTTTCTCAGCTACTGCACTTAAATAAATCATAAATAAATTTATAAATTATTTTATATTATTTTCCTCATTTCATTTTTTTATTTATTTTCCTCATCTCAATCTCACCTCATAATTCCATTATGATGGAATTCGTAAGATAAATTTCTTTTTAGAATACTAGGTAATTTTTACTGGGAAATAGCTAAATCAAATTAACTGGTACTGGGGGAAAATGCCAACTTTCTCTTAGTTTGCTGTAATTTTTGCTTCTTAGCAGGAAAGGGAAGATGAAAGACCGACTTCAAGAACTAAAGCAGAGAACAAAGGAAATCGAACTCTCTAGAGACAGTCACGTGCTGGCTACGGAAGCAGAGGAACAAGGGGCGTTTGAGCAACAAGCTGTGATTTACGAAAGAGAGCCTGTGGCCGAGAGACACTTACATGACATCCAGAAACTACAAGAAACTATTAACAATTTCACAGATGATGTTCAAAAATTTGGACAGCATCAGAAAAGTCTGGTGGCTTCAATGAGAAGGTTTAGTCTCCTTAAGAGAGAGTCTAGCACTACAAAGGAGATAAAAACCCAGGCAGAACACATTCACAGAAGTTTGGGTGAGTTCGTTAAACAAGTTAAGAAGTCAGAGGCTGAAAACGGTCCATCATCAGTGGTCACAAGGATACTGAGAGCTCAGCATGCTTCAATGGCCCATCACTTTCAGCAAACCATGTTTATGTACAATGACACAATAGCAGCAAAGCAAGACAAGTGCAAGACATTTATTTTCCGGCAGCTTGAAGTTGCTGGAAAACAGGTGCCTGAAGAAGAAGTACAGGAGATGCTTCATCAAGGAAAATGGGAAGTTTTTAATGAAAGCTTACTTACAGAAATCAGTATCACAAAAGCACAACTCTCAGAAATTGAACAGAGACATAAAGAACTTGTAAATTTGGAGAACCAAATAAAGGACTTAAGGGATCTTTTTATTCAGATATCTCTTTTAGTCGAGGAACAAGGAGAGAGCATCAATAATATTGAAATGATAGTGAACAGTACACAAGATTACGTTAACAATACTAAAGAGAAATTTGGACTAGCTGTAAAATACAAAAGAAGAAACCCATGCAGGGCACTGTGTTGTTGGTGTTGTCCATGCTGTAGCTCAAAATAAAGAAGCTATTTTAGAAACTTCTCCAGCTTTAGGGTGAAGGATTTCTCTCATTTCAGTGTCATATATTATTTCTTCATTTCTTGGGTGCATTAGCACACATTTTATCAGTTAAGTCATAAATTTCTCCCTTAACTATTACCCTCTTGAACTGCAGAAACTGCTAAAGTTGGGGTCACTAGACAAATCTGTATTTAACTAAAGTAAAAACAATATGGCTATCTTTAAATTATGGGCTATTGGGGCTGGGGATTTAGCTCAGCAGCACAGTGCCTGCCTGGCAAGAGAGTTCGATTCCCAGTACCAAAAAAAAAAAAAAAAAAAAAATCAAATTATGCCTATTAAAAATGATGTGAATGATGTTGAGTTTATGATCAGGTATTCAATTCTATTACATATTTATCAAACTTTCAATGCTTTAACAAGATGAATGTCCAAGTAAGTGACGACTACATAAGGACCCCATTTCATTCCCTTGAGAACATTTTTTTATTTTGTTTTGTATTTTGTTTTTTGTTTTTTGTTTTTTTCCGGTACCAGGAATTGAACTCATGACCTTGCGCTTGCCAGGCAGGAGCTGTGCTGCTGAGCTAAATCCCCAGCCCCGCTTGCGAACATTTTGATAGATGACAATTACACAAAACAAGATTTCTAAGGATGCTACAATAACACACAAGAAACCAGAATACACATTAAATCTTTCATCCTCAGGTAGGTTAAGTTAACTCAGTAGTTAACAGATCCTGGGAAAAGTCAACTATGTACTTAAGAATTTAACTGGTAATTTGTAGCTGAATCAAACTCAAGACCTAAAAATCAACTAAGGCATTGTTTCTTAAACTTGGAGCCATTCAGGACATGGTAACAGATCAATGGCCTTGGCAGATAAAAATAAAAATTACATTTTTTTAATGCTCTGACATCATCCAGTGATAATTTCAGGTATTATACTATAGGCTAGGGATATAGTTAAGTTTATAATCTAGTAGAGAGGACAGATTATAAAGAAGTGCACATGGGCATGGTGGCACACGCCTGTTCACCATGAGTTCAAGGCCAACACGGGCTCCACAATGTTCAAGGCCAGCCTGAACTATACAGTGAGACCGTATCTCAAAAAAAAAAAACAAAAAATTAAAAAAGACAGCCAGGCGTGGTGGCTCACGCCTGTAATCTCAGCACTTGGGAGACTGAGGCAGGAGGATTGCTGCAAGTTCGAGGCCAGTCTGGGCTACAAAGTGAGCTCAAGGCCAACAACAACAAAAAAAAGAAGTGCAAATACAAGATGATGTTAAGCAGAGGCAGAGACTTAAAATAATAGTGATGGAAAAAAAAAAAAAATGGTGATGGGATGATAGAGAGGCTGCCCAGATGGCTTTATTACAGTGAGTCAGTGGAGGCCTTTCTGAAAGGTAGTATTTAAGTAAAAATGTAATACAGTGAATACAAATATAATGAATACAAATGAGGATATATTTCGGGCACAAGAAGCAAACAGAACAACAGCACAAGATGGGCATGACCTACTTCACTAGAGAAAAATGACAATACGGCTGGGGCATAACTGGTAAAGAACTGTGAGGTAAAAGATGAGCTCAGCAAAAGGCAGAAAGGGCCGGTGTACAGCTTCATGAGATGTGGAGGAAAGCACGACGTTCACAGCAAGTGTAAGCTGTACTAGGCTCTCGAGCTGTCTTAGGCCTGAGAGCAAATATGACAGCATGTGTAGCTGAGAAAGATCCTCCTGTCTACCACGGAGTGGGTGAGCGCGGACCTGGAGAACGAAGGGCCTGATCCGGAAGGGTCACGCGGCAGCCCCCGCAGGAGATGACTAAGGGCTGAGGTCTGGTGGTCACAGAGGTGGGTATCCCAGGGCACAGGACCTGTGCGCAGCCCACTGATACCTGAGCACAGGCAGAGGCAGCCCAGTTTCCAAAACCACATCTCACACTACGTACTGCATACGAGTGTTCAGGAAAATCACACTAACTTGCGACGGGGTGAAATCTACACCACGCTGACTGGACGGTGATGCTACTAGACAAGAAGAGGCAGAAAGGAAGAAAAAACAATTGGCCGTGAGAAGGAAAGTCTGTGTTGGTCAAGAAAATCAGAAATAATAATGTCTAAGTGCCAATGTCTAAGCAGAAGTTTCTCTGATTTTAGGTATTTCAGGAGGAATGCTGAGAGGAAGTCAGGACTGGAAGTATCAGTCCAGGTCATCTGAGTATACACATGATATGTAAGGTAAGGCAACTACAGATGAAGTACGTGGACGTAAAAAACTTGAAGTCTGGCCAGGCATGGTGGTGCACACATGTAATCCCAGCACTCGGGAGGCTGAGGCAGGATGACTGCTGTGACATCTAGGCTAGCCTGGGCTACACAATGAGTTCAAGACCAGCCTAGAATATAAGCTGTCTCAAAAAACAAAACAAGAAAACAAAGCAAAAAACTTGAAGTAAGAAAGGGCCTGGGATATTACAAATTTAATAAAGGGGACTATACAGAATTGTAAATAAGGCAGAAGAAAAACCAAGGAAGAATGCTGTAATTCAAAAGAATATTCTACAGAAGAAAAGGCTGAGGAAAGAGTTATCGTTAGGCAAGAGCTGGGCAGCAGAGTGACGACAGAGCCGGTAGCATGGAGATAACCCTGGACAGGAACAAAAGAGTTTCACAGAACTGCCGGGAGGAAAGCACTCAAGCAGAACGCTGAGGGAAGAACATGACAGAACAAGCAACGATAACGAGCCAACAGCTGGAGAGCAAGATGGGGCCAGAGCATTGGTCGCGCTCAAAGACACTGGAGAGCAGACGGCGCTGGAGGCCGTACACCAGAGAACTCCCACCACAAGGGAAGGAAGAGACACTGCAAATGCACGGAGAGCTGGGTCTGCAGCACAAACAGAGAAGCCGGGAGAAGCCAGCACCGGGTAGGGGCGTGAGTGCTCCTTGCACTTGTACGGAGGAAAGGCCAGGTTAGGAGTAAAATCGGGTAGGTGAGTAAATATGGTGGCAGAAAAAAGCAAAACAATATTTGTGATAGTTTCTACTCCCTTAACGTAGAAAAGTGTCCTTGCAGCTTCAATGTGAGGTCAGCCAGGGCAGCCACCATGTGACTGCTTGTGTAACCAGGACGGTGACTTTCCATCGTGGAGGAGACGGGATGGGGCACAGGGTGCCCGACAAGGGCTGAGTATGTATGTTACATGTGCGCGCGTGTCTGCATGCACACGGACTATAATGTAATGCTCATTTACAAAATACAAAGGAAAGGAAGCACTTTTTTTTTTTTTTTGGTTTTTCTCCGGTACCGGGAACCGAACTCACGACCTTGCGCTTGCCAGGCAGGCGCTTTGCCGCTGAGCTAAATCCCCAGCCCCAGGAAGCACTTTTTACTCTGACAGTTTATCAAGAATTACTAGGGGAAAAGATATGTCACATAGCTCAGCTTCAAATGTCAAAAGAACATTATAGAAAGATAAATTTAAAATATATTCTCATTGTGCACCGTAAACGTGAATAAAACAAAAATTTTTAAAATAAAAAAAATAAAATAAAATAGATGACAAACTCCCAGCTAACTCAATAATGATAGCTATTATCTCTTTTCCTTTTAAAAATTTACTCACAGCTTTGGTTCCTACATTGTTCATCGTGAAAACTGAGAATGTTGAACACTACTTAATATTCATTAATATAATTACACATGGATTTAAAAGTTTCTTTAGTATGTTATATCTGCACATAGTGCTTTTAAATCAAGATTTAAGCACAGATTCATCACAGAGCAATGTAGCACACACTACTTTATTGCTATATTTTTAAATCAATTAATATAACCTAAGCAACAGACACAGTAATATTTAATTATGAGTATTTTGTATGCAATATTTTATATCCATATTTAATAGTACAAGTAGTAAGATGTTTTTAATATAACAATCTGAAAGGGAAAAGATATTCTTGAAAGACAGGCACAATATATATTAGAAATCTACAGGTTGTATATGTATATGATGATAAAAATTCCTTATGAGCATTAGGGCTCACATTCATAACCACTAATTTATACTATTTTCTGCATTCACAAGCTTTTTGTAACTTAAAAGCACTTTTTTGGGGGGTACCAGGAATCAAACTCAGGACCTCACGGTTGCCAGGCAGGCACTGTGCCGCTGAGCTACATCCCTGGGTTCAAATCACTCTGAAAGCGGCTCTTCTAATTCATCTCCATCTGGACACACCATATCATCAACAACAATAATATACAAATCCACCACCATATCTACAGAACTGCAAAGATGCTTTAAATGCACTATTTGGAATTTGCATAACAACATAGATATAAAAATTCTTATTTACAACTGGACAGAATAAGTAACCTACCCAAGGCCTGCCTGACTCCAAAGCCCACATTCTTTTCCTACCCCAGTGGTTCTCAATTCTTCCTCTGCATTAGAATGATCCAAAGAACCTGTGGAAAACAAACACACAACATCCCTGGCCTTGTCCTCAAAAACTCTGGAGCTCTGGGCAGATGCAGGCAGTCCAGGGACATCTCACTGCTGATCATCACTGTCAAACAGGTTTTTCTTTCCTGCTGTTTTGTTTTGTTATGAAATACAATGGGGTAAGGAGTTGGAGCATGAGGCAGGGATGGGAAACTGCAGGTTTCCAAGGCTTAGGTTTGTTGACCGACAAAGTCAGATGAAATGCTTTACTATAAACTACAGCTGCTGCGAGCCAGCAGAGCTGCATGCTACACTTTAAGAGACTAAAGGAAGCATTCAGCAAGGAAGTCTGGAAGTGAGTCAACACTATAAGCAAGTGAGATTAAGGAAGATGACAACTTGTAAGGCCGCAATGAAAGAAGATAATCTTAAATTAATGGCCCCTATAAACGCAGTGAGCTTGGATTTCCAAGGGTGAAATTAGTAAACCAGGACACTGAAACCTGTAAGAATCAACTGCTTATGACCTGGGTAGATAACTATGAGTCTTCAACAGTCTAAAAACTGACCT